ACAAAAAAACACCCCAATTACAAATCGATTTTAGAAACAAATTTTTTCTTGATCAAACAGGCCTAATATGCATATATACTTACACAAAGGACATATACCTGGACTGGGCCACAGCAATGCATATATACAAAAACACACATATATACACACACATATATGCATATATACATACACAAAACACATATACACAAACTGGGCCATAGCAACGCAGATATACACAAACACACATATATACACACACATATATGCATATATACATACACAAAACACTTATACACAGACTGGGCTACAGCAACAGGTGGCAGGAGATGGCTAGTGTACACATAAAAATCAACTTGCATTATAGATAAATATAGATAAATGATCAGTAGATGATAAGCAGATAGATTATGATGGATAGATAGATAGATAGATAGATAGATAGATAGATAGATAGATAGATAGATAGATAGATAGATAGATAGATAGATAGATAGAATAAGTCTTGAACTGAGAAGAAATTAACCTGGCAAGAACTATTCCCCTCAGGATATCCTGATATTCAAGAAAGCTGTGTTTGGAAATATATATATATTAATTTCTATACATTTCCTCCCCCATCCATAATATGAACTGAGGTCAAAGTGCTCAAAGTGCCCAAAGAAAAAGAGATTTCAAGATGGGCTCAAAGCCAACCTTAAAAACTCTGGCATAGACACTGAGAACTGGGTTGTTGTAGGTTTTTTCAGGCTGTATGGCCATGTTCTAGAGGCATTTTCTCCTGACATTTCGCCTGCATCTGTAGCAAGCATCCTCAGAGGTAGTGAGGTCTGTTGGAACTAGGAAAAAGGGTTTATATATCTGTAGAATGACCAGGGTGGGACAAAGGACTCTTGTCTGCTGGAGCTAGGTGTGAATGTTTCAACTGACCACCTTGATTAGCATACAATGGGCTGACTGTGCCTGGAGCAATCTTTTGTTGAGAGGTAATTACCATGTCCCTGCCTGCTTCCTCTCTGTTGTTGTGCTGTTGCAATATTAGAGTTTTTTTAATACTGGTAGCCAGATTTTGTTCATTTTCATGGTTTCCTCCTTTCTGTTGAAATTGTCCACATGCTTCTTGTGGATTTCAATGGCTTCTCTGTGTAGCCTGACATGGTGCTTGTGAGAGTGGTCCAGCATTTCTGTGTTCTCAGATAAAATGCTGTGTCCAGGTTGGTTCATCAGGTGCTCTGCTCTGGCTGGTCAAGGGACACTGAGAACTGTCCCTTGAACACTCCAGCTGGAGGTCAGCTGTGACTAGCAGTGCTGCAGAATTCAAAGAGGCACAAATGGAGGGCGAAAGGGAGGAATGTGCCAAGAGTAAAGCATGTCAAGCCAACCCTGCCCGGGACTGCTTTCCGTCTGGAAACCAATGCCCTCAGTGTGGGAGAAGATGCAGGTCAAGAATAGGGCTCCACAGCCACCTACTAGGGCTGGGCGGTTTCGTTTCATTAATTCGTAATTCGTTAATAATTCGTTAATTTTTTCAATTACAAAACGATAACGAACCATTCTGGAGCAATTATTAAAAAAAACGAATTTTCAAAAACGTTTTGTAAATGCTTCGTATTTCGATATTGTATTCGTTTCGTTATTGTTTTGAGGTCGTTTCGTTATTCTTTCCGCATGTCTGGGCCAGTTTTATGGTTTAATTAGTGAAAAAAAATTATAATATCACACCAACAGTCAACAACAGAGGGAGAGGGAAGCTTCAGAAGGTTTTGGAGGTTTTTTAGCGTATTTCGCGGTCGCGTCCGCCATTAACGAATCGATTCATTATTGTTTCGGAAATCGATTCGTTAATTTTTTACCATTTACGAAATTTCATAAATATCGAACTTTTTAAAAGGAAAATTTTGTAATTATTTTAAATATCGAAACAAAAAAAAACCCCAAATACAAATCGATTTTAGAAACAAATTTTTCCGTTGTTACCCAGGCCTACCACCTACGGACCCACCACCAGGATACTGATCTTGGAAGACTATCCTACTCGGACAACAAGGGATTGCCTAAGTAAGTAAGTAAGTAAGCCCAAATGTGAAGGTGGAGATTTGCATTCGATCTAACCCATCCTTCAGGAAGTCAACAGTTGGCATGGAGGTTGCTCAGAAAAAGATGCAACCACCACCCCCACCACCACAGGGCCTTATGCGCCAAGCAGCCAAACAGACCTAATGGCATATTAAACACTGAGACATTTGAAGAGGAGGGGGGAGCGCAGGCTGAGCTTGAGGGAGCCCAGGCTGATCTGCATGCGATGCTCTCTCCAGCAGCTCGCCTGATTAATGGTTGCGCCTCTCACAGTTTCTGTTTGATAGGTGCAGGCAGGGGCCATGCGGGGAAAAGTATGCTCTCCGTAATTGCCTCTGAGCCGGAATCAATGAGGCTTTCTCTTTCAGAGTAAACAATCTCCCCACCCACCCACCCACCCCTCCGCCCCCTCTCCCTTCCCTCCTGCCACCAGCGCATTTCTCAAAGAGAGCATTGGAATGAGAAGTGGCAACCCAGGCAGGAAACTTAGGAGGCCTCCCCATCGTCCCCTGGTGATCGTTTGGGAACGGAGAAAGGACAGGGACCTGTGGTGACCAATTGAGATGTCTAGTCACTTTGGAGCAAAACATCATGCAGATTGAGACCAAAAGTCCCTGAGCAAAACTTTTGTGAGACTAACTCAGGCCTGGGCCAACTTGGACCCTCTCTCCGGTGTTTTGGACTACAGCTCCCACAATTCCTATTTATTTATTTTATTTATTTAGAACTTTTATATACCGGTCTTCTCGACCTCTAGAGAGGGACTAAGGCTGGTTTACAAGATTCAAAAACAGTAGTTTAAAAGATCACACCATATAACACATTAATACATAAAATACATTAAAAGCAATCATATAATTAATTACATAAAGCCAAGTTGTCCAAAAGATATCACAATTCATTATCATCCGTCCGTGTGGCCAGAAGTTCTTGACTCACTCATCAAATGCTAAATTCCAGAGCCAAGTGTTCACCAATTTTCTAAAAGTCAGGAAAGAAGGGGCAGTTCTAATCTCCAGCGGGAGAGAGTTCCAAAGCCGAGGGGCCACCACCGAGAAGGCCCTGTCTCTCATCCCCACCAAACGTGATTGCAAAGGTGGTGGGACCAAGAGCAGGGCCCCTCCAGAAGATCTTAACAACCTTGATGGTTCATAGGGGAGAATCTGTTCAGACAGGTAAACTGGGCCGGAGTCGTTTAGGGATTTATAGGTCAAGACCAGCACTTCGAATTGTGCTCGGAAGCTAATTGGCAGCCAGTGGAGCTGGCACAACAGAGGAGTAGTATGCTCCCTGTACCC